GACCACAACATTCAATTCTTCACTCCATCCAGAATTCTATATTTAGAAAGTAATTACAATGTGAAAATAAAAGATAACGAGTGTTCGCCTCCAATGATTCGGTACACGGGAAAAGATGCACCAGGATTTTCATGTTTGCCAAATGGTTGTTGTCTACCATGTCCATTTGCTAACACGCTTTACCCTGAAAATTTGATCGATTCGATTTACTTGATTCTAAGTTTTGTTAGGGTCATTTCGTTCGCGTGTATTTTCGCTTTGGTTATAAGTTATGTAGTATTGCCTAATAAGCGAGAACATCCGGCCATGACTGTATTATTATTTAATGCAAGTCTTTTAATATTTATCAGTGTAACCTTTTTTTACATTGGAGATCATAAAAAAGTACAATGTTATGATGAAATAACACAATCTGATATAACAAATAATCCATTTTATTGTGGAGTGCAAGGTATTGTGATTGAAAAAAAAATTTTTTTTTTTTTAAATACAAATTTTAAATTTTTTCTAAATTTTTGTTTTTTTTTCTTTTCTTTTCCTTTAAAAACCAATACAGGTTTAATTTTAGTCTTTTCAACCTTCCTGCTTATTTTATGGTGTCTTTTGTTAATAATACATTTACATTGTCAAACTGTATGGAAATCGAATGTTACACAGCTTTATTCTACATATATTTATGCGCTTATATTGATAGTGGCAGTAACTTTTACAATATTGCCCGGTATAACCGGAGAGATTAATTATGAATTTGGTGCTGTTTGTTTAGTTAGTTCAGAATATTCAAACAACTATTTATCGTTAATATTAAAATTCGTATTTAAATTAAATTTGGATAGAATGCATTACTATAATTATTACTATTTCTTGTCTTTTTGGAAAAAGAAATGCAATTTAACTTAATTTAACATTCATCATTCATCAACAGCATATAAATAATAGTGGTTGATTGAAATAACCCTGTAGATAGATATATTTGAATAAATATTTAAATGATGCAATAATTGATGAATGCTGTATATGTTAATACTAAAATGATTATTAATAAATCTCCACAAAAGAACTTCTCCACACTTGTAACCCCGCAACTCAAAAACACTACTTGCCAAATTAATAAATCAACTCCGAAAGTTTAAGTGCCAATTTGCCTGATGATTGGTTAAAAATAATAAATGTGGTAAAAAGTTAAAATTCGAAAATATGTGGTGTTACATTCATTCATTCAATATTATTTTATACATTAAAAGTAATAATAGTAATTTTGAATAATGAATAATAATAATAGATGATATTAATAATAATAATAATGAATAAAATAATAGAGATTTTAAACTTTTCTGCTGCTGATCTGATTAACTAATGAAGCATGCGTTTAGTGAAGTCAACAAATAAGAAAACAAACACTCACCGTTTGATCGACCGATATGATATTGTATAATTGACCAAACGCATAATATTCATGTGCCTATATGACATCAGAATGATATCCATATTCGATATTAATTTCAAATTAATGAATATTTGATTGCATTTTTAATGCTTTTGACATTCCGAATATCTTTGTTAACTATTTACTATTTACTATAATTATTTTTTACTATAATTATTTTACTATAATTATTATTATTATTATTATTACAAAACCCAGATTTCATGTAAATTATGCATTATTAATGATTGCGACATCCGAATTTCATGTAAATCATGTATTTTAATTATTTCGACATCCGAATATCTTTACTATTGTTGTTACAAATACTCTAATTTACCAAATTAATTTAGACTCATGTAAATCACGTAAGTACTCGGATCCTGAAACTCTTAATTTACCAAATCCCCGAAACTGGCATAGGTCTTCCTACTAGTGTCACACGACATTTGACTTTTTCAAATTAATTGACGATCCGCATATGAATCAAGGGAAAATGTATGAAATAAATGATCGATCTGTAGAAATCCCCCACCAACATCTCCACTACATGACAATTTTTTAAAAATGTTTGTTTTTTTTTTCGAAAGAGATTTAATTTGACCCTTTCTCACACAAAGTACTCATGGTGTCATTTTGCTTTTTTGAAGTTTCGGATGATATGTTCAAAAATAAAAATCCGAAAGCTGATAATATCCTTCTCTCCAACATGGATATCTAGATTGATTTAATCAATGTCACAAAAAATTAAATTGCCGAAATTGCAATTAAAATAATGCTTATATTCGTAGCACAATTTTTTGTTTGATGATTCGAATAAAATTTATTTTATTTGTTTCATTTGAGTAATAATTAAATTAACGAGTACACATTTTTCATCCGTCGATCCCTTATTTAGACATTCATTTATCACATTATGACTTTTATGACGATCTATCCTTCAAAAAAATCACAAATTTTATTACTTGAAGATCTTTACAAAAATCACATTTATTAAAAATCATATGAAATATGGAAATGTTTAAATGGTTTAGGATGGTCAACATCCAATGTATTTGAATATGAGTTTTTTATTATCAATATAAAACGTATAGTCATAATAAATAATTCCCTTTGTCATTCTTTCTCTTTACATGGGTAAGTAATTAAACTAATATGAAGCAGAATCTATCTATATATAATATTAACGAATTCGCCAACATTCACATTAAAGAACTAGTGCTGTAAATTATGATTATGGTAGTAATTGTATTTACGGCATATAAAAAGTGATCGTAATTACCTTTGCGACCACTTTTGCAACCATACTTTTTCCTTTTTTGGATTACGGCACTAGTCTTTAATTCACATCATTTCGGATGATATCAAATATTCATATAACAATAGTTTATATATATGTATATATATATATATATATTATTTCGTTAACTGCTTATCATGCTCTATATATTAAGTTGTAATACATAATATTGATTAATATTGATTACTTTTCAATATTTTTTTTTTTGTATAAAATTGAAGGAGTTCGGTATGTATTGAAACCCTTCAAAATCAATGATACCCCTTGATCTTTTTATCCATTCTTTTTAACTAATGAAAAAAAGTATATTAAAGCAAAACATCATTGTTTTTTACAAGTGGTTTTTTTACTCGCTTGTCAAATTTTTCTATCGAAAATACGAAATTGCACAGCATCAAAAAGATCAGCGTTCAATTTTGTCACAAGTGATAAACGAATGTTCCATTATTATTATGCTTTTCATAGACGGATCAGATCGTCCATTAATTTACCGATATCAATGGATTTGTAAGAAACGGGATCGTCTTTTACTGTTGAAATAAATGAAAAAATGTAAATGAAAGTATAAATTACTGAAATGAATGGAATCACACGAATGATAATATTTCTAATTATGGAAAGAAAGAATTGAATATTTTCTAGAATATTTTGGGAATAGAAAAATAATTTTTTTGAAGAATGGATGGTTTATAAAGCAATAATTAAAAAAAATATTTTTGATAAAAGTGAACATTGGAACAATTTTACCCAATTTTGATTTTTCCACGATAAGAAATACTGGCTTTTAGTTCTTTCCTTTTCACTTTCACATGCATGCATTCATTCATTTACTTTCTAATTAACTTTACTCTAGTTTAAACGGAACTCGTTACTAATTACAACGACGATTCATATCCTGATTTCTCTGAAATATTTTCTGCCAAGTTTTATCCCATTATTTTGATAATTTCATGTGACTCTCCATGTTTTAAATGCAGTCAAGGATGAAAAAGCGAGAACACTTGGAAGTTAATCTTCCGTTCTTCTTCTGCGTCTAGATCTCACCTATGTACAACAATTTATCTAATTCATCTTGCAGTTGATGGTGAAGATATAAATCACTATGAAGGCGATAATTTATTTTATTTAGTTCAAAAGATCATATATCTATTACTTGCCAATTTAAAATATAGCTTCAATCATTTATTTACTTTGTAATAAAGAAGATGACAACGAAATTGTTGAACATGACAATGACA